ATTTAGAATCGTTAGCTCTTGTTGCATTGATCCTTTTACCATTATGTAATGCTCTTCTTTGTCTCTTTTGACCTTTGTTGGTTTAAAGTCTATTTTTTTTTTTTTACTTCCTCTAACATGGATCATAGGAAACAAGGTTTAAAGTCTATTTTTATCAGAGACTAGGATTGCAGCTCCTTTTTTTTTTTCGCTCTCTATTTGCTTGGTAAATCTTCCTCCATCCATTTATTTTGAGCCTATGTGTGTCCTTGTGTGTGAGATGGGTTTCCTGGTTATAGCACACAGATGGGTTTTGACTTTTTATCCAGTTTGCCAGTCTGTGTCTTTTGATTGGGACATTTAGCCCATTTACATTTAAGATTAATATTTTTATGTGTGAATTTTATCCTGCTGTTTTGATGCTAGCTGGTTATTTTGCCCATTAGCTGATGCAGTTTCTTCATTGTGTCGATGCTCTTTATCATTTGGTATGTTTTTGGAGTGGCTGGTACTAGTTTTCCTTTCTATGTTTAGTGCTTCTTTCAGGAGCTCTTGTAAGGTAGGCCTGGTGGTGATGAAATCTCTCAGCAATTCCTTGTTCATAAAGGATTTTCTTTGTCCTTCGCTTATGAAACTTAGTTTGGCTGGATATGACATTCTAGGTTGGAAGATCTTTTCTTTAAGGATGTTGAATAGTGACCTCCACTCTCTTCTGGCTTGTAGGGTTTTTGCTGAGAGATCCACTCTGGGTCTGATGGGCTTCTCTTTGTGGGTAACCTGACCTTTCTCTCTGGTTGCCCTTAGCATTTTTTCTTTCATTTCAACCCTGGTGAATCTGACAATTATGTGCCTTGGGGTTGCTCTTCTTGAGGAATATCTGTGTAGTGTTCTCTGTATTTCCTGGACTTGAATATTGGCCTGCCTTGCTAGGTTGGGGAAGTTCTCCTGGATAATATCCTGAAGAGTGTTCTCCAGCTTGGATTTGTTCTCTCTGTCACATTTAGGTACACCTATCAAACATAGATTAGGTCTTTTCACATAATCCCCTATTTCTTGGAGGCTTTGTTCATTTCTTTTCACTCCTTTTTCTCTAATCTTGCCTTCTCATTTTATTTCATTGAGTTGATCTTCAATCTCTGATATCCTTTCTTCTGCTTGGTCAAATCAGTTATTGAAACTTGTGTATGCTTTGCAAAGTTCTCATGTTGTGTTTTCCAGCTCCATCAATTCATTTATATTCTTCTCTAAGCTGTTTATTCTCATTAGCATTTCGTCAAACCTTTTTTCAAGGTCCTTAGTTCTTTGCATTGGGTTAGAACATGTTCTTTTAGCTCAGAGAAGTTTGTTATTACCCACCTTCTGAAGCCTGTTTCTGTCAATTCATCAGACCGATTCTGCATCTAGCTTTGTTCCCTTGCAGATTAGGAGTTGTGATCCTTTGGAGGAGGAGAGGCGTTCTGGTTTTGGGTGTTTGCATTGTTTTTGTGCTGGTTTCTTCCCATCTTTGTGGATTTATCTACCTGTGGTCTTCATAGTCGGTGACTTTCGGATGGGTTCTCTGAGTGGACCTCCTTTTTGTTGATGATGAAGTTATTTCTTTCTGTTTTTTAGTTTTCTTTCTAACAGTCAGGCCCCTCTGCTGTAGGACTGCTGGAGGTACACTCCACACCCTGCTTGCCTGGGGATCACCTGCGGTGGCTGCAGAGCAGTAAGGGTTGCTGCCAGTTTCTTCTTCTGTTATTTTTGTCCCAGAAGGATACTTGCCAGATAAACAGCCTGAGCTCTCCTTTACGAGGTGTCTCTTTGGATATATGGGGGTTGGGGAGCTGTTTTAGGAGACAGTCTGTCCCTTATCAGAGCTCAAATGCTGAGCTGTGAGCTCCGTTGTTCCATTCAGAGCTGCTGGTCTGGTATGTTTAAGTCTGCTGCAGTGGAACTCATAACCGCCTTTTTTCCCCAGGTGCTCTGTCTTGGGAAGGTGGGGCTTATTTAAAAGTTCCTGACATGCTGCTGCCTTTTTTCGGAGATGCCCTGCCCTGCAAGGAGGTTGCCTAGTCACAGTCTGCCAGCAGAGGCATTGCTGAGCTGCTGTGGGCTCTGCCCAGCTGCTGTGTGAACTTCCTTGCAGTTTTGTTTATAGAGGTATAGTTAGAACTGCTTTGGTAATGGCGCACTGCCTCGGTAATGGTGGACTGTCTTGGTAATGGCGCACTGCCTTTGGTAATGGCAAACTGCCTCCGTAATGGCAGATGCCCTTCCCCTGACAGAGCTGGACTGTCCCAGGTCCAGCTGCACTTGCTGTGAAACTCTCAATTCAGAGCGTTTCAGATTGCTGGTCTTTGTGGGCCTGGGACCCACCTAGCCAGATCACCTGGTTCCCTATTTCAGCCCCCTTTTTTTCAGTTGAATGGGAGGCTCTGTATCCCAGGAGTTCCAGGCGCCAGTTGAAACAGCCACCCAGGTTTGTGTGAGTTTTTATATGGAGACCCACTGCACTGGCTGAACCAGCGTGCTGGAAACTTTTCCGCCCAGGAATCTCCTGGTCTGTGGGCAGTAAAAACTCTTTTGGAAATGCAGTGGTCACTCACCCTCTGTGTTGTTCTTGCTGGGAACTGCACTCCAGAGCTGTTCCTATTTGGCCAGCTTGGATCCCTTGGCACTCTTAAGAGTTAATGATTTTGGCTACAAAAGAGTGATGTCTGGGGTGGGGCGTTTGGACCTGGATATAGGTTTAGAACGGTTTCAGTTTGTATTCTATTATTAATTGATTTGAAGTAACTTCTTGGTTTGGGTTAGCCACATATTTGATTTGTCTGATGTGTTCTGAAGCCCAAGTAGGTGTGGCGTGATTATTTGTTAATAGTTATTACTACAGAATTGGAAAAGCCTTTCTAAGTTGAACTTCATGCTTTACAAATCACAAGTACCTGGCAGCCTTTAGTGTTGAAAGGAGGCAGTACTGACTCAAGAACCAAGCCACTCTCAACTCACTTTGTAGTAGGAGTGTGACTGGAGGGAGGAAGAGAGGAAAGGGGAAAAACAGATCGTTATTATTTGCAGTGAATGAGAGTACTCACTTTGTAGTTAAAGGCTTGGTTTGGATCCCTGAATTGCTACTTTTTATCTATATGACCTTGAGCAAAGTGTTTAAAATTTTTTAATCTACTTTTCCTCATCTGCCAAATGTGGTTGATAATACCCACCTCATCAGATTCTTGTTGGGTTTAAGTCAAACAACATGTATAAAGGGCCCATACATGTGTACAGTATCCCTTGATAAATAGTACTGCACATTATTCCTACTTTTGTTTCTCTCCTTATATAAATCTAACATCCAAATTCAGAACTTTCTGTTTCTTAAGTTAATGCTAAGTTGGTAGTCGATAATTTGGATCACAATGTTTCCATTAGAAATGAGCATCTAGAGCTGGGCGCAGTGTCTGATGCCTGTAATCCCAACACTTTGGGAGGTCGGGAGTTCAAGATCAGTCTGGCCAACATGGTGAAAACCCATCTCTCCTAAAAATACAAAAATTAGTTGGGTGTGGTGGTGGGCACCTGTAATCTCAGCTACTAGGGATGCTGAGGCAGAATAATCTCTTGAACCCTGGAGGCAGAGATTGCAGTGAGCTGAGATCATGCCACTGCACTCCAGCCTGCGCGACAGAGGGAGACTGTGTGATAGAAAGAGCAAAAGAATGAAACAAAGAAAAGAAGGAAGGAAGGAAGGAAGGAAGGAAGGAAGGAAGGAAGGAAGGAAGGAAGGAAGGAAATGAGTATCTCAGTTTAGCACTTTACTGCTTCACTCATGCTGAAGGACAGACAGAAGAGAAGGAAGGAAGAAAGGAAGGAAGGAAGGAAGGACAGACAGAAGGAAATAAATGAGTATCTCAGTTTAGCATTTTACTGCTCCACTCAAGTTGTAGGCATTTTAGGAACACATATGTTGACATGTGGTTTGTGTTCTTGATTGTATGGGACATGAGATCATGGCTTAATAAATGAAATCAAAACTTCCTTAGCTGTGTTCTATGGAACTCAAACATTTTCAGTAACTTTTTAAGGGCAAATGTCTCCAAAGTTGCCTTTATTTAATTCTACAATTTATAAATTTGTGGTGATTTAAGTCTGTAGTGCTCTAGTGATTTTCGTCTCTAGACAAAAATCTCTAGATTTGGTTTCTAATCCTAGAGACAAACCAAATGACTTAGTGGCTAAAATGATGGACTTCAGAGTCAGCTTAGGCCTGGTCTAGCCAGAGAATGCAGGGTTCTAGTCCCTGACACCCTCTTACTTGCTGTGTTAGTCTTACTTACTGTAGATAAGTGACAACCTCTCTGAGTTTAGTTTTCTAATCAGTAGAAGGGGGATAATGGTAGTTCTTTTCTTACAATGAAATGATAGAGCTTGGATGAGATAATACCTTTAAAGCATTCACCAAGTTTTTAGAACAGAGTAGGTACCTAACAGATAATCCCATTTCTCTTTCTACATCCCTTCTTCCCTCCCTCTCCTTCTTGTCCTTATTTTCTCCTTTTTTCTCCACTGAGTTTTTAAAAAGGCAGAAACTAGTCTGGTTGCGGTGGCTCACACCTGTAATACCAGCACTTTGGGAGGCCAAGGCAGGGTGAATCACGAGGTCTGGAGTTTAAGACAAGCCTGGCCAAGATGGTGAAACCCCGTCTCTACTAAAAATACAAAATTAGCCGGGAGTGGTGGCAGGTGCCTGAAATTGCAGCTACATGGGAGGCTGAGGCAGGGAATTGACTTGAAAACCCAGGAGGTGGAGGTTGCAGTGAGCCGAGATTATGCCACTGCACTCCAGCCTGGGTGACAGAGCAAGTCGCCATCTCAAAAAAAAAAAAAAAAGAAAAGAAAAAAAAAGGAGAAAACTAGACAGGTGAGCCTTTATTTCTGGTTTGGCTTTGATTGCTGTGATTTGAGGACATGGACTATAGTTGTAGATGCTGCCCTGGCTGCATATCAACAATGACTTTTTTTTCCTTGATGTTTCTCCACAGGAAGGATCAGAATGTTCTCTCTCCAGTCAACTGCTGGAATCTCCTCTTAAACCAGGTGAAGCGGGAAAGCAGGGACCATACCACCCTGAGTGACATCTACCTGAATAATATTATTCCTCGATTTGTCCAAGTCAGCGAGGACTCAGGAAGACTCTTTAAAAAGGTACAGAGATATTCCTAGTCACAGAGGGTCTTGGGTGGAGCAAAGATACAATTTTTAAAATCCTATTAGGTATTACGTTGATTACCCAGGTGACAAAATTATCTGTGCACCAAACCCCTGTGACATGCTGTTTACCCATGTGGCAAACTTGCCGATATACCCCTTGAACCTAAAATAAAAATTGTAAAGAAAAAATAAAAGAGTATCTTACTGGCCTACTTCATAGGCTTTCCACTAGTCATTCTCTACCACATACTTGTGGAGAAAAAATATTTGAATTGGCATTCTTTTCTCCATTTCTGAGCTGAAATAATAGTAGCCTTAGGAATGGAATCATTCGCAAGGTACAAACCCAGGACTGGCACCGTAATTCATAATCTGCATCTATTAACAAAAACTGTGTTTTGGGAAGTTTTCTTAAAGTGATTTGTGAAGCTGTTGAGCTTAAGGGGCCTACAGTGTCATTTTATGTTTTCCTATTCTAGTTCATTTAGCAAACTCATATACGTTTATGTTTTTGGTTTAGTTTTCTTTCCAAGCTCTCATCTTGGCAAAGGTAGACAAAAAGGTTTGATATGATATGTCTTTGTCTTTGGGTCTCTGAATGCTTTCTGAAACTCAGTTGTTATCATACTTCCTTGGGTATAGGTTGAACAGTTTGACTAAGGAAAACTCAAAATAATCATGAAAATCTTAAGGAGCAATTCACTTTACCTGTCAGTGGTGGAACTAGCCTTTTGGAAACCCAGGAAGCTGTTTTCTAAGCTGTCTCAGCTTGAGCTCACAGTGAAATCATTTATTCACGAAGTTTAGTTACAAACAGTGGTGAAGGCCCCAACCATTGTATGTGATGCTCCATGTCTGTCATTCAAGTTTTGACATTTCTGGAAGACTTTCCAGAAAGCAAATAATCTTCCTATAAGTTACAGGTAGAAAGAGATTATAGAGGGCTATTTAGAATTCATCAATTTCCAGGTGACAAAATCCATTATTAATATTTGAAAGTATAAGATAAAGGACTCTGATAAACAGGATTATAGTCTATATAGTCAAAGCTCTTGATCGTTTTCCAATTCTCAGTTAGGACGTTTTCCAGATTTCACTAGATCTGGAATTAATATCCAATTTTTTTCTGTAATTACCAGCCTGATCAAGTAACTGAGCTGGAATCTTCCATCTACCTAATTGCATCCGAGAAGGTGTTTTTCCTATGTCTTAGAGACAGAATATTGAGAAAAATCACCTGACAAAGAAAAGAAGGCAGAGAAAGACAACTCCTCCCAGAGCTCACTGGCTTTTTTTAGTAGCCTGGCTGTGCTGTGGTTGGGGCCACACCGCATTTCAGGGTGAGGGTACTTCTCACCATCTCCTCCATGGTTTCCAGCATCAGCTTCAGCTTGCTTGTTAATAATTTGAATTATTCTGCAATACTTGGTGATGTGTGTGTGTGACTAAAATTAAAACCTATTTAGGTGAAATTTTGACAGCTCGTCTCTATGACCTTGACAGCCAGTTAGACTATCTCAAGAAGGAAAGGGCTTGACTGATCGCTTCCTTCTCTGCTTTCTTTGTTCATCTGGGAAAAAAAAAAAAAAAAAAAAAAAAAAATTTTTTTTTTTTTTTTTTGAGATGGAGTTTCGCTCTTGTTACCCAGGCTGGAGTGCAATGGTGCGATCTCGGCTCACCGCAACCTCTGCCTCCTGGGTTCAAGCAATTCTTCTGCCTCAGCCTCCTGAGTAGCTGGGACTACAGATGTGCACCACCATGCCCAGCTAATTTTTGTATTTTTAGTAGAGACGGGGTTTCACCATGTTGACCAGGATGGTCTCGATCTCTTGACCTTGTGATCCACCTACCTCAGCCTCCCAAAGTGCTGCGATTATAGGTGTGAGCCACCGTGCCCGGCCAGAAAAAAACTTTTATAAGATCTGTTCACCTAGTTAGACTTCACCCAGTCTCTCAGCTCCCTTTTCTCCCAACCTTAGAAGGTTAGAGAAAAACCAAGCTGAGAGAATTTAATAGCCTCTCCAGATCTCAGAGGTGCTTATACTGAAGGCAGCCAGATATCAAAGCCACGAGTGTTCCTGACTCTTCAAGTGCCATACGCATATTTCACCAAAGGCCTAAGTGCATGGCATGTACGCAAGGTGTGGGGCATATGACCTCCAGAAAACAAATTCAGCTATGAATGATATTCCTAGCCATGGGCTCAGGGTTGACCTCCTTAAGCTGTATATTACTATGCTAGATTGTGAGGAAAAACTTCTTATTTCTCACAGGACTGTTTATGTATTACATCTCACTGAAGAAAAGTGTGCCTATCATAATTTAATAGCTATATGCATTTTTACAAACTGAATTCACACTTGTGTAACTGTATCCAGACCAAGAAACAGAACATTTCTGTACCCTAGAAGCCCCCTCATATTCCCTTCTAGTCATCTCCCCACCCTAAATCCCCAAGGATAATAACTTTCCTGACTTTTAACAGCAGAGATTAGCTTTGCTTGGTTTCAAACCTTATATAAATAGAATTGCACAGCATGTACTCTTGTGTCTGGTTTCTTTCACTCAATATTATGTTTGTGAGATTTATTCATAGTGTTGTATATAGTTGCAGCATCATAGGACTTTCTCTTGATCTTTGTAACTTTGGATTGATTAAATTGTAGTTGATTAGAGACATGCATGGGGTTGTTGAATGGCAATGATTACTGTCCCACAGGGTGAATAATCTCTTTTCTCCCTCCCTTGCGGGTTCCCATGTAGGCAGAGAACTCTAAGGTAGAAGCTGGTTGGCACATCGTAAAAATAGATTCAGCCAAGCACAGTGGCTTGTGCCTGTAATCCCAACAACTCAGGAGGTCAAGGTGCGAAAATGGCTTGAAACCAGAAGTTCAAGAACAACCTGGGCAATGTCATAAGACCTTGTCTCTAAAAAAATTTTAAAAGTTAGCTGGGCATGGTGGCCTGTGCTGGTAGCCACAGCTACTTGGGAGGCCGAGGTGGCAGTATTGCACCAGTCCAGGAGTTTGAGAATGCAGTGAGCTGTGATCATGCCACTGCACTCCTGCCTGGGCAACAGAGCGAGACCCTTATAGTTTGAGGATGCAGTGAGCTATCATCATGCCACTGCACTCTAGCCTGGGCAACAGAGCGAGACCCTTATAGTTTGAGGATGCAGTGAGCTATCATCATGCCACTGCACTCTAGCCTGGGCAACAGAGTGAGACACACACACACACACACACACACACACACACACAGATTCCTTCTGTTTTGGCTGGATAAAGAGCTTCTCTGCTTTCTAGTAATGGGCAAAGAAACATTCTTCACACCCCACCCCTCTTTTGTTTAGACTGTGTTGCACATGAAGAATTCGAATCCTACTGGTTAAGATATAGTATCAGATAAAAGACCTAAGGAATGTCCTTGGCCATTCTGTAGTTTCAGGAATCTTTCCTGGGATTTGCTTTGTGCTGTCAGAGGAAAGGTCTTTTCCAAGTGACCCTTTCTTTTGGGCCTAGTTCTGCCGTTAATGACTTGGACAATAACTTCATTCTCTGCCTCAGTTCCTTAAACTTTAAAAAAAAGAGTGTGGTCTATACGCTCTCCCTGGTGCCTTCCAAATTAGGATACCACAGTTCTGTGATGATAAGGGGATCCTACACTGGGGGCTTCCTTATGGTTGTGTGGCTACCTTTGTTAAGTTGTGATAGGTAAACTGTAATCCCAGAGATAAAGACAAACAAAAGTGAATATGGGTGTGGAGAGGGCTAGCTTAAGCAAATGAAGACCACATTTCTTGAGGAATGAAGCATTCTTTCAGATGCTGATATCTACGGTGTCAGCAAACAAAGAAATTTGGATTCAAATATATAAAATGGATACATTTTACTAGTAAATTTGGCTCCTGTGGCTAAATAAACCATTTCTCTGGGGACATAGGGTTAGAAAAGATACCTTAATTTTTGGTATGGCTGTTGATTCCTGTGCTTTATGTGACTTTGAGTCTGTTTGACTCTAGCAAAAGTCAGCATTTAAAAAAATCTTTTTTTAATCTATAAAACTTAAGTAATTCACTGCAAAAGTTACGATAATAGAAGTCATTATATTTTGAACCCAAATGTGCCAGGTATTGTGTTAAGCACTTTCTTTATATGTATTATCTCTTTTAATCCTTAAAATAATTTTATAAAATAGATACTGTTGTTATCATCATTATTTTATGAAGGAAGAAACCATGGCTTGGAGAGATTAAGCAGGCCAGGCACAGTGGCTCAAGCGTGTAATCCCAGCTCTTTGGGAGGTTGAGGCGGGAGGATCACTTGAAGCCAGGAGTTCAAGACCAGCCTGGGCAGCATAGCAAGACTCCATCTCTACCCGCCCCCTCCTAAAAAAAAGCCAGGCATGATGGTACACACCTGTAGGCCTACCTACCCAGGAGGCTGAGGCAGGAAGGATTGCTTGAGCCCAGGAGTTTGAAACGACAGTGATATAATCATGCCACTGTACTTTAGCCTGAGTAACAGACCAAGAACTTGTCTCTTAAAAAAAGAGAGAGAGAGAGAGAAGGCTAGGCACGGTGGCTCACACCTATAATTCCAGCACGTTGGGAGGCCGAGCTGGGCAGATCACCTGAGATCAGGAGTTCAAGACCAGCCTGGCCAACATGGTGAAATCCCTTCTCTACAAAAATACAAACATTAGCCGTGCAAGGTGGTGGGTGCCTGTAATCCCAGCTACCTGAGAGGCTGTGGTGGGAGAATCGCTTGAACCGGTGAGGCAGAGATTGTAGTGAGCAGAGATTGTGCCATTGCACTCCAGCCTGAGCGACAGAGTGAGACTTTGTCTCAAAAGTGAGAGAGAAGAGAGATAGAGAGAGAGAGAGATAGAGAGAGAGAGAGATATATTAAGAAAAATGAGATGAGACTAGTGTTTAACTCCAGTCACCTAGCTCTAGAAGCTAACGTTTTCATCTACACAGTGTATTAGTATTC